CGATGATCGGGAACAGCCACCTGCCAGGGCACAGGGACCATCAGGAGGGAGAGAAGGGAGAGCTGTCCCTGCCCAGCACCCTGCACACACCCCACAGCACCCTGCACACACCTCACAGCACCCTGCACACACCTCACAGCACCCTGCACGCACCCCACAGCACCCTGCACACACCCCGGGCAGGGATGGGAGGGCCCTGGCCTCCCAGACAAACCCCTCTGTGCAGCCAAGCACAAAGATCAGATCCTGGACCACTGCCTGCGGACTAAACCGGACTTTCCACTCCAGCAACCAAAAATCAGGTCACCCTGCCCACCTTCCCAGCRCTGCAGCTCTCCACAGCAACCTACATTTGAGCTCTCAGCACAGAAAACAGAGCTCCTGGCTCTAGGAAGAGCATTCCCTCCCCTAAATGGTCCCATTGTTTCAGAGATCTTCTCCCTGATGGGTATTTACACGTCCAGGGAGCAGCAGACCTTTATCCCAAACCTCTTCCATCATCAGATCTATACCCCAACCCCCTTCCATCACCAGATCTGCATCCCAGGCCCCTTCTACCATCAGTAAATCCTCCAGGTCACATTCCAGCCCTCTCCCACATTCTCCAGCATCCTCAGGTTTACTGATATCCCTCCAATTTCTCCCTGAGGGACTGAGTGACTCTGGCAGCTCCCTTCAGCACTCCCAGCTGRGGTTGTGAATGTTTGAGATCTGGAAAATCCTCCAGGAAAAGGCTGAGGAGAAAATTAAAAAAACAAGAAAGGCAGCTCCGGGCCGTTCCCGATCCTGGCACACCCCACAGCACATCTTGTACCTGCCTGGAGCCCCGGCTCAGCAAACATCACCTGATGGGAACCCGAGGGGAAGGGAAGGTGGAAAAACAAGCCGTGCTGTGCCCAGACAGCCCCCAGAGCCACAGCTTTCCACCTTCCCACCAGCAGAACGTGGAAAACTCCCCAGTTCCCGCTGGAGCCTGCCCACACTTGGCGGGCGAGCCTGGGAAGGCAAATCCCGTCCCRAGCCATGAAAAGACTCGCACCGAGACTCCCCTGGGGCACGGGGTGGTCTCACATCCCCGCGGCCCAAACCTCTGCTCCAAAAAAGCCTTCCCACATTCCCTGGATCCCTCCACTGCCGCTCCTGCAGGGACACGCCCGTTCAGCACAGAACCTTCAACACCCTCCCGATTACCCGGGAGAGACCGGGGGGGACCGGGAAGGGCCAGGAGGAACCCGGGAAAGAACGGGGGGCTGCGAATGGCGAGGGGGTCCCAGGAGAACGGGCTGGGGGACTCAGGACGGGCAAGAGGAACCCGGGAGAGGCGAGATCAGGGATGAAGAGAGGCGAGATGGGGCCGGGAAGGGCGAGCGGGGGACCCGAGAGGGGCGAAGGGACGAACCGGGAAGGACAAGGAGGAAGCTGGGAGAGGATCCCGACAGAAGCGGGGGAGCTCCCGGGAGGGGTTCAGTGGGATCGGGAGGGGCGAGGGAACCCCAGAGAAGCGAGGGAACCCCAGAGAACGGAGGGAACCCCGGAGAACGGAGGGAACCCCGGAGAACGGAGGGAACCCCGGAGAAGAGAGGGAGCCCCAGAGAAGCGAGAGAACCCCGGAGAAGCTCCGGGACAGTGAGGGGAGGCCCTGGGGGAGGCCCTGGGGTCCCGGCCCGCCCCCGCCCGCCCCCGTGTGCCGCGGGCGCCGCGCTCACGTCAGGACGGGGATGGGGGTCCACACCACGCAGTGCGGGAAGCGGCCGCGCTCCGCGTCCGGAGCGGCGCTGCCGCCGCCATTGAACTGCTTCATCCCGGGCTCCGCCGCCGCCATGCCCGGGGCGCGTCACTTCCGGCCCCGCCTGAGGCAGCTTCCGGCGGCGGGAGCGGGAAACGGGGACGGGAATAATGGGAATAATGGGAATAATGGGAATAATGGGAATAATGGGAATAATGGGAATAATGGGAATGGGGATGGGAATGGGAATGGGGAATGGGGAATGGGAATGGGAATGGGAATGGGAACGGCCCGGAGTCAGCACCCCCTGCCTCGGGCCTGGACCTCGGTATGGACCGGCACCCCTAAGGCGAGCCGAGCCCAGGAGCAGAGCCCAGCCCAGCCCAGCCCAGCCCAGCCCCTGAGCCCAGCCCAGGGAGAGCGGTGCCTGTCCCGGGACAGCCCCTCCTGCAGCTCCTTCCTCCTCTCACTCCCCTTTGTGCGGAGCCATCCCTGCCCTGTCCCCTGCCCAGGAGAAGGTGGAGGAGCCCCCTGAACCCCCTGAGGGAAGCGCAGGAGCAGAAATCGCCATCCCAGGAGCTTCCCGGGACAGGCAGGAACTGCCAGAGCAACAGTGGCAATCAGAGAGGGAGAACCAGCGTGGAAAAATAACCATCACTTTATTAGCAAGTTCAATTCAAACTACACGAGGAAGCTGGGAGATGTGTTTATTCCAGATTTCCACCCAGCACAGCACGCTCGGAATGAGACCCAGGGACCGCAGGGAGGTCAGGGCTGCTCCAGSATTGGGGTGTTGTGCCCCAATTGGGGTGCAGAGAGCACCCAGTGCCCTCTCCAGCTCCACATCCTTCCACGTTCCCTTGGAATCTTCTCGTTTCCTCCTCGCAGAGGCTGCAGCCACATTTCCCATCGAGGCGTGGAGTGGCCAGGGCTGTCCAGCACAGCCTGTGGTGTCACACTGCCATTCCAGGGGGTTGGGAATGAAAATAAACAGTCCTGGCCCTTCCTGCACGTGGGCGGCTCCTCCTCTGGCACAGAGACAACAGAGCCGAGGTGGCCTTGGATTCTGGGATTAACAAACCCCGTTCCCAGCGCTGATCACAAACTGGCAGCTTCCACTTTTCATCCACATTCCTTCACCAAAACCATCTCCCTGTCCTTTCCCTTCCGTGCCTTTTCCCCCTCCCTGGCTGAGTCCAGCCTTCCACCCCACAGCTTTCTCCATTCTCCAGAACTGCACAGAAAAGCCCCGGGGAGGGGACAGCGTTTGGTGTCCCCCCGTTCCGAGGGACAGCAGGAAACGTCACTGCAGTCCCAGGTCAGGGTGGCCTCTCCCTCTCAAGCCACGGCAGCTCCCCCTGAGCACTCAGCACAAATAGTTCAGAACACCCCACACATTTTTCCACCTCTACCAAACCCTCCAGACTKTATCCAACATCCCACCTGATTTCCCAGCCCAGACCAGCATTTAGGAAAGCCTTCCCAAGTGTGAAATATCTCCAAGGCGGTGCCAGACTCTGTTCAGCAGTGCCCAGGTACAGGATGAGGAGCAATGGGCAGAAACCAAAACACACCAAGTTCCACCTCAACACAAAAACAAACTCTTCATAAGGGTGGAAGATCTCTGGAGACATCCCAAAGCCACCTGGACTGTCCCTGTGTCACCTGCTCTGGGTGACCCTGTCTGCCCAGGGGCTTGGACTGGACAATCTCCAGAGTTCCTCTCCAACCCTAAAATTCCTGTGAAATCTGCTCCAGGGGTCAGGATGGAGGCAGAGCCTCTGTGGAGCTGCAATAGGAGCAGGGGCCCTGCAGGACCTGTCACTGTGCCAGGAGCTGAGCAGCAGCTCCAAATCACACTGCTAGGGGTCTGAGGGAAAAGGAATTCACAAAACAGCCTCCAAAAGAGAGAAAGCTGAGGAAATCAAACACTGCACAGTGAAACCATGGCTGCTGCTTTGGTTTCTGACTTCCTCTTTTAGGAGAAGGAGAAATGGGTACAAATGGAAAGAGGGGAAATTGAGGTTGGGGAATAGGAAGAAATCCTTCCCAGAGAAGGATTCGTGCCCAGAGCAGCTGTGGCTGCCCCTGGATCCCTGCAGTGCCCAAGGCCAGGCTGGACGGGGTTTGGAGCAGCCCAGGGAAGGGGTCCCTGCCCAGGGCAGGGTTGGAATGAGATGCTCTCCAAGTTCCCTCCCAACCCCTAACATTCTGTGATTCCATTTTGGCACTTGGGATGGAAGATGCACACAAAGGTTGTGTTTCAGCGAACAATTTTTGTTCGACAAAAAAAAATAAAATCCTGGCATTGATTTGCTCCAGGCCAACATAAATATCAGAGATTGTGAAAAAGCCATGAATGGGGGCCAACGTTCACATCAGCTAATGTGGTCCTGGCACGTTTGTGGGATTAGGCAATGGATTTGCTCTTCCTGCTGATGGCTGGGAGGCTGCTAAGCAGGATATCACCAGGGAGCAGCTCCTTGGCACGGCCACGCAGCAGCGACAACGCTGACAGCTCGCAGGATGTCCCCGCAGTGCCACCTCCTGCCTGGGCAAGGGCCACTTCAGACACTCCACTGCCTCGCAACCCCAGTGCAGGAAGGCAAACCCAGCTGCTGGAGCTTGGGAAGAACACAGCTTTCCCCAGGCTGGATTAAAAAAAAAAATAATTAAAACCAAAATCAATAGAGCACTGGTTTGCTGTGCAGCTCTTTGTGTCTGCCAGGGAAGCACAAGGGCTCTCCAGCCCCGCAGAGCACGGCTGAGCTGGAGCTGACAGCAGGGTCTTCCTGTGACAACTGGAAAGCTGCTGCTGTTMTGCTGCTATTGATCTAAGCAGAATACAAAACACCTGAAGTCAGCAGGGAAAAATAGCTGCAGTTGGAAAAGGAGCTGTGGGGGGGAGGACAGGGAGGGGAGAGCAGGTAAGAAGTTCTCCATGCATAAAATTAAAGGCCGGGGTTTTATTGCAGCTCTCTTGCCTGACTACAGCACTGGATCGATGTGCAGAGCAGGAATGGTGCCATCATTGTTTGTGCAAGCTCTCGTTTGAGCAGAAACAAAAGGGTTTGCCAGGGACTCGCCCCCGATGGCTTCTCTGGCTCCTCTCAGCCAGAACAGCTCAGGACAACGGGGACGTGTCCCTGCTCCTGCAGGTGCCAG